AACGTCCTCATCACTCGAGCGAACTTCTGAAGACAGAGGGGAAGACAATGATGAGACGCGAACACGTTAATAATCTGACGTTACTTCCGTTGCGTAACAGACTACACTGTTATTGTACTTTGTCACATGCGAGTGATCTAATAAAAGCTATAATGCATTGTTATATATTTTTAAACGATAAGCCGTTTGTCTTTCTACCGATCCCCTCGCGAACGGAAGAGTCCCCGGCTCGAGATTTCCGTTCTACTCTATGTTAATCCTGCAGACTTCCGTTGAACTTGAATGATCAACGGCACGCATTTCAGAGAACCTACTTACGCGGAGTTATTATTATTGTTACCTCTCGGTACTCACAGATAATTACTTGTCGCCATTTTGTCGACGCGTTAGGAAGTCCTCAATTGAGAATGACCAAACTTTCCCGATTCTTTGCTTTCACGAGCAATCTCTATTAATTATGTAACTCACTCGACTGCGAGTAGTGCGAAGTACTGCGGCAAACAAATGCGAAACGTCTGATAATTTGATACGTTGATAATTTAGCCGCACTGTGATTGGCTCGTCCGTGACCGAGTCGTAACCATGTCTTAAAGGACATGGAGCACATATCGATGTTTACACACTTCCCGGCAGCCGATCAAGATATTTCGTAGCCGGCATCGCGGCGACGTGTGGCCAGCGATACATCAATATTTCCAGGTATTTGTCATTGTTTACGGTACAGCATGTTTCCAATTTTAACCCGAGCCTGACTCGCCGAGAATAAGGAGAGATACCCGAGTCGAGATTACAAGTCTATCCCGCTGATCCATAGGTACGATAACACAAGGATCAGAAATAAGAAGGTTTTTCGTTTACTTCGTTTCGTTTGATCTAGCCGTTATTCTTATTAATTACATACATCGAGTTATTCAATGTTTGCTTATCGTACGTTTCTATCTATACGGCTGAATAAATTACATGATTAATGTACTGTTCATTGGATCTGAGAATAAAGATCACACGCGGATAGTCCATCGTGATAATTGGTTATTGAATAATTCCGGAATACGCGTGCATTTTCAAGTTTCCTCAACGCGGAGGAAACTGCGAGCGAGTAAATATTTATACAACGGCTGGCTGCGCGACAATAGCCCGCGGATTGACATGTATACCTCGGGATCCTCTATTAATCTTTCAAGTCGTCGGCGATATTTCCGGCACCGGTACAAAACTAAAATTTCCACACTGGTAATTTACACTCGCTGGATAGTCTTTTGGAAGCAAACCAGAAATACCGTGTGGGTATATACCGGCGATCATGCCGGCGCGTATTTATTCGGGCTCGACGCGACCCTTGTTATTTATGAACGACACGTCGAAGATAGCGACGCGTAATGATCGTTGCATAAAATTAACGGTACACCGGATAGCGATAGAGAGGTCCCCGCGACGGGGGCCGAGGACGGGGGGAGTGGAAGCGGATAGGTGAAGAAAGAAGTCACACACGGATATTTTTGTGATACTCTCTTTTTTTATGAATGCACAAAACATTTTAATATAAACTTAAAAATTCGTACAACAATATGAAAAATTATAGACTATTATACACATGTATATATATATATATATATATATATATATATATATATATATATTTATATTTATATTTATATGTCGTACTTTTTATTTTTTCCATTTTCCAGGTTTATCAATATATATATATTTATTTATTCATTTTATTTATTTGTTTATTCATCTTTACTATATATCTTTTTTTCCTTATTAACGGGATGGAAAACTTCCGTCTCTCACTAAGTATATGTATATTATGTATATGTGTATATATTATCATGTACGCACACGCATGCATACATACATAGGTATGTATGTATGTATGTGTATATATGTGTAGATACCTATATATGTGTATATATAGGTATGTATTAATGTAGAAATATAAAGTGGACCGTTGCACGGCCCCGCGTCGCGTCTTACAATCAGAGTGCGTCAACTCGCTATAATCCAGAGACAATAATTACACATCGGTAATCGGTTGTTACTCACGGTAATGCCGACAATAATCATAACAACGATAGTAATTAATAGATGTCACATGGTACGCGCGTAAATTCATCTTATCACGTTAACAACGTTAGGAAGGTGTGTGTATGTGTGTGCGTGTGTGTGCGTGTGTGTGTGTGTGTACATGTGTGTTTCACGACGATATAGGGTGGCGAAAAGTTTCGGCGCGCGTCGTCGACGTCGCACTCACGCTCGTCGAAGTTTGCGGACGTTCCAACGTCACGCGAATGTCCCGCACATTTTTGCATACGTGTCGTTCACGTGACGTCGGTGCGCACGTGTGTCGTGTGCGTGTGAGGTGACTAGTGACTAGTGTGCGCGCGATGTCAAGTCCGCGTGCATCTCTCCGAGAGAGAGAGATGCGGAGATTTTTCCGGATTTCATCCCGTGTGTTTTCTCTTTCTTTTCTCCTCCCCCTCCCCCTGCCCCTTTCCCCACCCTCTCTCCCCTTTTCGTCGGCCGCGCACATCGCTTCGTACGTGTACGCTGCAGTGACGTAGATAGAACAGTAGTAGTAATAGTAGTAGTAGTAGTAGGTACGTTAACACACATCATAGATAGAGACATAGATTAGGCCAAATCCCTTTCTTTCGCCTTTCGCGCCACACTTGATATGCGAGTCTCTCGGTTGCGGTCGTGTCGTTTTGTCCGGTTCGGCACCTGACGCGCGCAGGTGTATCCTTTCGAACGATGCGCCTGTAACTTTGCTGTAACCGCGGAAACGAGATACGAAAACGCTCGCCATCGGGAACGACGTCAAGCAAGGTCACACACAGACACACACACATACACACACACACATACACACACACACGCGCGCGCGCGCGCGCGTGGTTTCTCGGCATTCCGCGATGGCAGGCTCCGCGAGGATATTCGGGATACACAACAACAGTCGAAGAATACACAATTATGTCAAAACGCAGAAACATATATCGAGAAATGAGGAAACGCCGCGAATGATCCCTCTCTTAATCCATTTCTTCCCAAGCGGACATTTTACTATCGACTTACCTTTTGCCTAGAAAAAGTAGTTGAGCAGCTCAAAATGTTACAAAACTGTGATTCCCGAAGGTAAAAACCTTGATCTCTCAGAATCCGTGGTGATTTTTCCAAAATTTTCAACGGGAAATTAAATATGGCGGCTAAAACATTAACAAAATTCTGGAACGCGCAAGTACTCGTTTCCTATGTTTTTAGAGTCGCTGAATAAGAAAATTAAGTTTATTTTTTATTTTACAAAGTGGCTGATCCGATATGGCGTCCAAAATGAGAAAAACTTACCGATTGAAGGGAATGTAGTACGCTATATGACATTCGCGATGTTATTCTTTTATTTCTGGGAGTGCAATACAGTTTGTCATTTCAAGATGGCGGATGAAAAATGGCCGCCAGAAAATAAAGAATGTCTGAAAATGATAGATATTACGTTTTTCAATTTAGGTGATGAATAATAAAAAGAATGAAATAATAAAGTAACGTTCGTTCCAGAATTCTTGTTAATGTTTCGGTCGCCATATTTAATTTCCCGTTGAAAATTTTGGAAAAATCACCACGGATACTGAAGGATCAAGGTTTTCTCCTTCGGGAATTATAATTTTGTAATATTTTGCGCTGCTTGACTAATTTTTGGAGGCAAAAAAGGTCAATCGATAATAAAATGTCCGCTTGGGAAGAAATGGATTGAAAAACAAATCGACTTATCTCACGTCACGTGAGATTCATCCACTTTGGAATCTACGCTTCTCGTCTCATCGATTCGCGCGCCGGCCTTTCCCGAATACAGAATGTGACGGCGGAAGAAATGCCCAAGACGACTCGGATCTGACTCAGCTCTTGTCACAATATCGCGGAATTATGCGCTACGATTTCGGGGGGGGGGGGGGTATGAACAAAATGCGCGCGTTAAAGGGCGCGGGGAGCCGAAAGAATACACCTCGTATACACGCATACTTTTTTGCGGGTGCGCGGCTGCTCGATATATCGCGGTCCTGAAAACTCCACTTTCCCTCGGTCGACGTCCGTTTCGTGTACGACGCTTAGAATACGCTACACATACAAAGAGCTTTACGAGTAAAGAGGAGAGGTATGTCGTTGTGCTGTTATCAGGCTCGGATGGAAATACGGAGAAGCGGGCTGTGTGTCTGTCGGAAGAACATTGCAGCCTAAGAGCAGCGGCGCGATGAGCGAGCGAAACGTTCCCCCGATCGGGCTGACTTCCCTTCCGGAGGGACGAAGGAATCGACCGGGAGGTGGAATACGATTCGCGAACGAAAGACGGCGCGATAAAAAGCGCCTCCCGCTGCAAAAATCGCTCGCAGTCGCAGCAAGTTCCTCTCGCGAGCGTATCGTCTTCGCGCTTCCTCCGTCCGATCGGACGGATCGGAGGTGTGGCGCTCTCAAACGCGGGACTCCCCCGGCTAATGCTGAACTGAGCAAACTTGCAATTTGCGCGCACATACGCGCGCACGTGTAAATTTGCATATTGCTTCCACGTAATTCCCACAATTCCTGCCCCCCCACCCGCGAATCCGCGCCTCGCGATCCGCGGGGAAGCACGAAAAGCGGCTCTCGCACGCTCTCCCGCAGCCGTTACCTCCTTCGTTTTAGCGTTCCCAGAATGCCGCCTCTATCGGCGGGCTTAATTATTCAGCATACGGTGGCTTGCCTCGAAGGCGGTCTATCGATCGGATTTTTAACTAGTTCGCCGCGCGCCGCGGAGCCGCGCGCCGTATGCTTTCTAATCGCGCAATCGTGTTCCGCCGCCGCGTGTTCCCTTTACACTTTCATGCAGTTTCCGGCCGCCCCCGTGAGACACGCGTCTATAGACGTCGACCGACCGGCTGTGTGTGACTAAAAAAGTAGACTGCGACGAACGACGAACGACGTCGCGCGCGTGAAATCATACCTCCGACCGGGAACCGGTTTGCGCTCGCGCGACGCGAGCCGATTTTTCCCTCGATTAGCGCGTCGTCTCCTCGGCGAGGACGTACACCCAAAGAAGAATGACACACCTAGCAGCGGCACGCTGAAAGAATATCGCGCGCGTACGCGCGATATTACATATCAAAAGGAGACGAAAACGGTCTCCGTCGACGAACGGTACTCTCTCTCTCTCTCTCTCTCTCTCTTCTGTTTCTCTTTCTCCCTTTCCTCGCTTCTCTCCTTCCCCGCTTTTGCCGCGGGACACCGCTCTCGCGAACGACGAGCGGGTGTCATCAGCGGCCCGATGTATCCTTCGCGAGGACGCGGCTCGCATATAAAGCGCCGTTCGCCTCACCGCCGCTCGTGCCGAGGTTGACTCGCGACCGGGAGAAATCCGGCCTAACGAATCGCGATGATCGCGCGGGGGCAGAGGAAACGAAGGCTTCCGAAGACGATTGATTCGGGCCCGGAAGGCGAATCAAGTCGCCGCCACAAGCGGTGGGGGGGGGGACGCTCTCATAACGGCGAAGCGACGCGAATCCTCGTCGGAGTCGCGATCGGATCTTCCTCGGGACGACGACGGCGGCGGCGGCGGCGGCGGTGTTTCACAGAGTCGTAATTACATCTAGATAGTCGATGATCGCGAATGATCGTCGCTCGCGCTCCGTCAAATCTTAATCATTAGCTATAACGTAAGATCATGTACGAGGTGTAGCTGCGCTGTTCGAGATCGCTCGATTAATCAGCCGCCCTTGAGCAACGCGTGTCGTGCGTCGCCGCTTAATTAATTGATCTTGTCGCGAGGAGAGCGAGAGATCTCATGTCTGCAGCCGTGTGCTGCTCACCTTTAGCCTGCC